AACTATATGTATGTGAAATTAATGAAAAATGCACTCTTTGTTAACTAAATTCGTAGTGTTGTTACTGATTATTTGCAAAATATGTTCTTTTGTTTATGTAAGAGTGATTTATCTGGGTAACGTTGCACACTTTTGACGAATCGATGATTGTTAGACTACCATTAGATATTTTTGAAGCTGCGGTCTTCACGACAGTATAGTATTGAATATAGAATCGGAAATGCAGCGAAGCTTGCTGCATCAGATGTTCGTTCCGCCTGGTTATCCATGTATTTGAATTAATCATTCCACTCCACCATTCTGTCACAAAAATAAGCATGGCTTTCCGCAAATGATCAAGTCGAGATTAACTGTGATCACCACTAAATACTAATTACTAGGCCGTCACTGAGCGGAAGAATAAATCAAGGGTAAAGAATGCATTTGCTGGTGATTTCGTGTTGTCGAAATTACACCAGGAATGTGGGCGAACTTTAAGATTGGTTGCAACACTAAACAGAAAGTTGCGCATAGAAAATACGTTATAAACAAAAAGTACAGTTAATCGTTGCAACAGTCAAAAGAATCTCATTCTAATCGGAAATAAAATAGACGCGACTAGTACTTGCAAATAATTTTTCATATCACACAACAATCCAAGATGATTGACGATACATGACACACAGAGAAATTAATAAACATAAAACTGTTTACTGAATGTTAGTAATTAAGTAGTATAAGCAATGCACAAGAAACCAGTTGTGGGCAGAGAAAAACGACAACAAAAGTAAACGAACTTAACAAATTGTAAGTGGCATTCTAAAGGGTGAGCATACTGTCAGTTTGCAATAAAACTGTCTTGTGATCAAGTGTAACTAACTATCCAGTTTTGATCTATTGTGTTTAACATTAATTTGGTGGAAAGCTTGTCATTCGCTCTAAGATTAAGATTCAGTTATATCAAATGTGAAGAAATGTTGCAGGAGAAATTCTGCTGTTCATAGAGGGAGGACATGTCTGTTCACAAATTCGAAACTGATTGTGCGTTATGAGAAAGATTTTCAAAATTCTTCGTACTACTCGAGGCCGATTCACCTTCTCAAAAGTGGAGCAACCACTAATTTTGTTACATAGAATTAGACAGTCGAGTGGTTAGACCTCCATCCATTGGATGTTACTGAACAACTGGAACCGTACCGAAAGAACAAGAATCGAGCGCGAAGAAATCAAATTGATTTACAGAAGCTCGTGAAATTGCATATTCGATATTGAACAATAATTATATGATGAAAATAATAATTGATATGATGATTATTATTATCAACCGAATTGTGATAGCGATATTCAACGTGACGATTGTATTGGATGTTCCGGATTTGCGCGAACAATATCTCAATCAATACACTGTTTACTGTAATCGAATTGATGTGTTTTCCTTAAAATTTTCTACTCCTCTGATTTTATCTCGTTGAATCACTTCAACATTCGTTCAGTACGTTCAGATCTCCCACTCACTGTTTTCTTTCCATTTGTTGTTTAGGTGATTATGGCTGCCTGATTTAGTATTTTGTTCTTATGTCTTCTTCGCGATTTCTCCCTAATAGCTGTTTGTTTTTTCATGTGTGTGTTTCCTGCCCTAGGTGCAACTTGTTCTTTCATCTTCATCTTCTGCTTTGTATTTGATGATTCGAAATTGAGGCTTGTCTTGTGACTCAGGAATATTTTTCGCTATGTGTCCTAATCGCTTCCAACGATTTTCCCTGATTTATTCCACCGCTGAAATCCGGTGTTCTCTTCCACAGTAGGTTATTGGTCATGGTGCCTGCCCAGCGGATCCGAAACATTTTGCTTGAACAACTCATACTAAACGCTTGTATCTTCTTGATGGTGATGATAGCACTCCACCCATACAGTAGAACTGTTCAGATATTTGAATTGAACATTGTGACTTAGTTGTTTGTAAGTGGTTGTTCTGAGTTTCAGATGTTCTCCAGTTGTGGAAATGTTGCCCTTGCTTTTACATCTGCATCAGATCCACCTTGCTCATCAATTATGCTGCCCAGACATATATATGTGCATGGTCTTACATCTTCCAAAGTGTGATTTGTTTGCTGTATCATGCATCGTGTCTGTGGCGCTTGTGTTTTCTTTGTGTGCGCTAAGAACTACTGCTGCTTGTTACTATGTTGGAGATAGAAGAGCTAGATAATCTTTCAAGTCCAGATCGTCCAGATGCATGCAAGCTATCCAATATCTTCCGTTCTTCCCCTCAGATTTTGACGTCTACATAATCCAGTCAGTTACCAGGAGGAAGAGAACGGATGCGGATGAGCAACCTCGTCTGACACCGGCCTCCACTTGGAACGAATCTGTCAGCTAATCAGCTTCTATGCTCATCTTTTTTGTTTGTTTGCTTCTGTGTTTACTGCTTATGCCTTGGTTTTCTCTGCTCTTGTCCAAATGTTATTGATCACTGCTTCTTGTTCCTGTTTTACTGATTTTTATGCAGTGTATCAACAGTAGTCCATTCCTTGTGATAATGCTTCTTATGGCTCAGAACCTCATTACCTGTTGATCTGATTGCCTACTTGATCCCTGTTCAGCTGTTCTCTATGACTGTTACATTTCAGCAGAGTAGATCGCGAAAAGCTTGGAACCTATTGCTGAGGGCTATCTTGAATTTGTTAGGTTTGTCAGTATCCTGAATATATTGAAATTTTATGATGTTATCCGCCCTGTTTTCTGGTACTTGAGTTTCACCTTGGCGACCAGCAAGTGATGATATGAGACTATTTCAGTTCCTCTCTTGGTTTTCGCATCCTCTATTCTCCTTCTGAACATCTTCAGATGCAAATATGGTCAATTTTGTTCTGTGTTGCATGATCCGTTGAAATCCATGTGGCGTTTTGTGTGTGTTTATGTGAAAATATGGTTCCACCTGTTACCTAGTGATAACAGGAGCATGGGTTTTCGAAACTCTCACATTTTTCGTTCCTTTCTCCCAGTCAGTCTCCTAGTCAGACGCACTCCATTAATAATTTCTGCATTACATAACTCACTTGCTCATATTATCTCTCACTAAATCATATACACAAACGGATACCTTATTGATTGTTATTATTCTTAAGCCCTTTCGATTAATTTATTTTACTATGCCATTTGTATAGCAACAACTCATATGTACCATGGTTATTTTTTATTACCTGCTTTGTATGAGCTTATACGACTGAGCATTGCTTACGCCTACGCGCTTACTCATCCTTTTCGCTTTAATGTTAATCTCTTAATTTCCCATGAACTCACATGATTTGTATCGCTTGCTTTTGACCTTGTCAATCATGTCTGTGCATACCTATTTCGCTTGTCATATGTCTGTCTTATTTATGCCTGACTATATATTCTTAGTCATACTCTATCTCTTGGAGTTGGCTCTTAGCCTTCTCCAATCCGCTTCGCTTTGTGGTGTGCCTCGAATAAACGTATTCATCAATACGAGTTCATCTTCTCATTTATAAACCGAGCTATAAGAACATGCAGTTATCGGCACACTACAGGTTCTCGTACGTGCCAATGCCATACGTTAGTCTACGGAAATCAAACTCAAAATTACCCGATCACCAGTCATATATATTCATATACGTCAGAAACGAGTTTGAGTTTGAAATTTCCCTAATACGATATATGTTACTAGTCTAAATGGAAATAAAATGTTATAGGTTACCGCCAAGTGGAATAATGAAACTGGTCTGTTTTATTTTAGGAATTCGTCATAAATTCCGAAGTTTGCATATTTAGTTGTATAATAAGAATCTAATGGGATTTAGTTTGATGCTTCCTGGTAAGGAGGATTCGTCTCACATTACTCACTTCCAAAGATTCTTCTTACCCTAGTGTTTTATTCTGTTGTGCTACTTTTGATTTAACTTAACGCTTCGTTGTTCAAGGGTTGTTCATCTCTTTAGGGCAAGAACCAATGCAACGCTCGTCAGCAAAAGTCAGATGCTTTTATTAAAGAAGGGTGGGAAACATCTCACATCACTTTTTAAACAAAAAAGTGATTCTTTAAAGTATACACTAAAAGTAGATTATAGTACCAAAACTTTATTATAAATACGCTGAAAATGTAGGATCAAATTAACTCCCTAGATATGCTGGCTGTTACCTTAATTGTTACATGTGAGTGAGTCTCTAAACGAGTCGTTGATACGCCAAACAGCTGTCATATGTCGCATATGGTAGTTTAGGATGTTGAATATAAATTTATACCTTCTTCATATACATCAAAAGCCAGCACCGTGGTTGTAATAAGTCGTTATTTAGTTCTTGTTCAGCAGCACAGTGGAGCAAACAGTTTATCAAGGACATAGGTCACAGAAATGAACGTTTTCAAGTTCAGAGTCCAACATGACATTCTAGCAATAACAGTGCCTCATCAGTAGTCCTTACCTTACTGAGATACAGGTCTGTTAAAAAGAGTAAAAGAGTTGATTGTAGATCAGAATTTCAATAAATACTCCTTGAAAATGAAACGTCAATTTTTTTCTTGCACTATACTTGATTTAACTCCGTCTTAATATCCACAGCAATGGGAGGCGAAATAGGGATTCACTTGGATGTGTTTGTTGCAGATAATCACTTATGCAGGGAAACAAAGGTGGAAGGCAGCCCGTCAACTCTTTTGTCAAAGCCTGACTCACTAATTATAGCCCAACCAAAATTAGCTCATGGTATGTGATGCATGAAGTGAAGAAATAGTGGGGGCCACAACTAATTGACTTAAGGAGCCAAAATGTGACTTAAGAGGCATGAATTTAAATTTCTGTCTAAAAGCTAGAATAACCCATGTTGGAGTGGCATTGTAGTAAATACGATATTTGTTATAAGGTGGATGCAGCTTGTCACATATTTGTTCTTTGTGTAAACGCGTCTAAAATTCGTGAACCTTACGGCAGAGCCTCTTAAACATATAACAAATGATTCCACGCTTATCCGTTACCCTAGAAATTAACTTGAATATCGACCAAAAGGTCGATATTTCTGGAGCTGAACTCAAAGTTTGCTGCACACCTCGTGTTGCATTTGGAATCAGTTCATCTAGTTAACCGCAGCAATGTAAGTCGAATGTATAAACTTTACTTTAAAGATTTTGTTGATTATTATTTTCTCTAACGATTTAATATCTGTACCCGCGTTAAATCTCTGACCAAGTGTATTCGATCAATAATAGCTCAGCACCGAGTTCTTGGTTAGGCTAAAGTTAGTTATAAATAAAATATCATACCATAATCATGCCTTCCTATTGCTACCCACTAATCGTGTTATATCTTATATTTATCCAGTTTTAATATGCAGAATCTATGAATATATGAATAGTTCTGGTTAGGCTGAACGATACAGTAGTGTTTTCCAAGCAAAAACTCGTGGTAGTTTTCTGAAAATCCCTATCTAGTTTAAGCATATGACATTTGAATATTATGCAGCTCCCCATTAACATAACTCTAGGACCCCTTAAGCAACAGTTCATAGAAATATGTCGACTTAACTAAAATTGCCCGTAATCTACTCTAAAAATTCTTGAAGGTTTTATATGAATAAGGTATCTATGGCTCATTATCTAATTGTCCCGGAAGGTTAGTACTACAAAATCTACCTGCCAGGAATCCGTGTGAGTCAAGTTAGTCCATGTATTTCTGTAGATAGTCTTGGATATATTTGTCAGCCAATTATTCCATGAATTTTCCATTAGCAGGAAGTTTGCCTACAGTTGACTGCCTCGGCTTTATTGTATTTTGATACGTGTATAAAATACGTGATATAAAATACGATCCTCATATTTTCCAGGTGTTTCCTCCAGCCTACCCGTACATCAGATAACATCACTCGTCAAAGTAGTTGGTGTCTGGGTATACGTAATACATGACTGCCTCAACGAGTGATGTCTGATGTACGGGTAGGAATCTAGGGGCAACTAAACCAAAACTGCACAAATCCATGAAGTCACTGACGACTGGATTAGGCCATGTTAGTAGTTGCAGACTATCTAATTGGAGTTAGTGAGACACTCGTAACCGGTGGTTAGAGACTTTAAATGACATGGTTTAAAATCGTTTGCGACGGCGGAGATGCATCCATTTTTTTATTTTCTCTGATCTGAACTCCTCGTGATCTTTTGGCATTTTTTAAATTCAGTCCTTAATCTTCTCTATTATCGCTAACACTACGACAACCTCTACTAAAAAGGGATTTAAACTAACAATTCAACCTCTGTGCTAAGGACGTATTACAAATCGAACTGATGTACATACGTCCCAAGTTCCTGAGTGAATGACTGACGACTTGGAATATTTGAGAAGCTACAAAACATCATCTAGTTTATTGTCACTCAGTTACAAAGTAGAACTTTGTACGTACGTACATCAGTTCAAATCGTTAAACCATATTAGCAGAGAGAGATCGAAAAGTCAATTCAAATCCTTTAGTGGCATAGGAAGAAGTATCAGCAGCAATGGAGAAGTGAAACAAATTTGTAAAGAGGCGAAAAGTCATGAAGAATTCAGAAGATTCGAATTTGGGAGAAGACAAAAAGTGGATATCCGGTTTATTGGTTGTAGAATGGTGAGTGGTGAAAATCATTGAATATCACAAAATAATACCCCAGTAATAGTGAAATATAAGGCGTATTATGTTAATCAAGAGAATGTACGAGACGAATTTATTACTACTTCAAGGAAACTTAGGAGTGGTTGAATCGAGACAAATTGACAGTCCATGAAAATCCATAAAAAATTTCTGTTTCGGAATTCTGTAGCATAAATGTTAAAGAGATTCTAGGTGGCAACTTTTCTAGACTATTAGGGAATAAAAGTTTCTACTTCATTTTATGTAACTCAGGTCTACTGTCCGGTTATTACTGATGAAACTATACTTCTAAAAGCGAAATAACATACGATAGGTAACAACCCAACAAATTTTAACTCATATGTTATATAACTCCTTATCTGTTAACATTGTAATCCAATTTTTGATACGGCTAATTACAGTATCCATTTTGAAAGTTTTAAAAAGCCCGTTAATTCATTAAAAGGAAGAATACGTAGCAGTGATATCTTGGTAAGATAGAAGAGTTTTACAAAATTATTAAAAACAGTTAAACTCATTCAAGTGAAAGCCAATGAGAATAAAGTAGTATTATGTAATATGGTTAAGATTATCATTATGTTTCAAGTGTTGCCTATGGTAGCAATCATTTGGCAAAGTAGTCAAAAAGCATCAACAGCTTACGTCGCGTAATAATTTTAGCATAGAAAGAAGTTTAAAGCAAAAGTTAACGATAAATGACTATTTTATAGAAGGAGGGTAAAATGTAGGTAGTAATAATAAGTACCGATAATTTGTAAACATTCAAAAGGGTACCAAGACTGTCGTTGATAAATTTACGAAATTCGTCTGTTTTACTATAGACCATTACATGAAAAATTACCCATAAATACGAACAGACCGCTCCAAAAGATGATATTGTTCGAAAAGACAATTTTCCTTCGGTATTACGTCTTTTTATTTTATTTCATTTTATTTCACTTCAATGTCAACGAATTTTCATTTATTTACTCCAGTTTAGTTAACAATTACAAGAAATCCTATTCAACTTCGTTTTACTTCTTCTCTCGAAAATGGTCGCTGATGCTGAATATTCCAATGTACACTTTTTACAATCTAATATTTCACTATACGAAGATTCTTTGCTTATTGATACTGGAACCTTAAAAATATCTGAAGAGTGAGTTGTGAAGATAAGTTATTTTAAAATTCCTACTATATAAAATTGTACTGTTAAGCATGTCACTTATACTGGACTAATAAGTTTATTTTCTTTCCATTAGTTAGTGAAAAATCAATCTTGCTTGTATCAAGAGAATTATACACTAAATATTCTGAAAATTGCATGCGTTGTTGTATTTTCATATGTGTTAACTGTGTATTTTCTCACGTTCAGACTACTGACGTGTAAATGACGATAAGTTGCTAACAAATCTCGAATGAAGTTACCTGAATAGCTACCCTTGAACTCAGTGCACAAATCTCATAGATGTAATATACACATCGATACCTCAAGATTTTAAAGTTTTGGCTAGTGAACGCACATCTGTATTATCCAGTTTGACACAAAGTTAGGGTATCACAAGCTCATGATGATGATTAACAGTCGTACTAATATGAGTAAACTTTTCGTCGATTAGTTGTGATTGATAATTAAAGGACAACCGAGTAAGCAATGCTACAGTTAGGTTACTAGTCTTCGATGATCGATATCTCCGAAGCATTGCTCGTGTATCCTTTGACGACCGAGTTAGCAATGCTATCGTTAGGAAACGAGTTCTAAGTAAGGATGGCAAATCAATTGATGAAGTATTGAAACTTCATGAGTTGAGGTGGTTCGGACATTTGTTACGGATGCCCAACCACCGATTGCCTCGACGAGCTATGTTTCGTGGTGTAGGTTTAGGCTGGAAGAAAGTTAGGGGTGGCCAGACCAAAACATGGCAGAAATGCATGAAGTCACTGACAAGTGGACTGAGTCATGTTGGTAGATGTAGGCTATGTGGTTGGAGTGCGCGAGACGAAAGTCATCAATGGTTAGAGACCTTGAACGACATGGCTCAAAATCGTTTGCAATGGTGCAAGTGCATTCACTCATTGTGTTCTCTCAGATCCTAATCTTCTAGATTCGTCTTTCTAAATTTATCTCACTGAATTATACTTCAATAATATCTTCAAATCCTAATCTACTCCATTACCGGTAATACTTCTACTATTGCTATCACTCTTGGATTTGAACTGACAATGGTGTCTCTGTGCTGATGTGGTATGGCAACCTGAACTTATGTACATACGTACGAAGTTCTACGTCGTAACTAACTGACTGACTGATTATTTATCACATTAGAAGAAGGCCACTCTTGTACCTGACATTTGATACTTTTCGTATCAGTGCACAACGGAATTGTGTGCTATATTAGAGCCTTGAAAAATAAAAAACAAGTCTTCCAGCTCATACAACTCCATTCAGTCCTGAATTCAAACCTTTCTTGTCTGCTTCCGTATAATGAACCAAGTATTATCAGTAGTCTTTATAACTAGTATGTTTTATTACTTATCATACAAAACATACACTTGGCTTATTAGTTTACATTAAATGTCCATTAGAATACAAACCCCTATCCAACCCTATGTATCTTGATCCTGCTATATTTTTTACTATGAACTATAACTATACATTGATTGTTACTTTTAGTTGTATTTAAATTCTGATTGTGACCAATTTGGTCTCGTGTGCTTTTATAGGTATGAGGGTGGATATCACTTCCTCGTTGCCCACACCGTGGAAGGGTGCTTCTTGAGGAACCTGAAAAGAAAGGTAGATTAGTGTTAGTCTTAGAGATCTGGGAGCATGACTGCAGAGTCCAAGGGACAACTGCTTGAGGCCGGTCACGCACAGCCTTTTTGTGAGACGTTTCCAAAGTGTTGGCTCCGTTCTTTTTAAAAGCCCCTACCGCCGGAGACGGAAATCTGTGACGTAGAGTGAGGTGTGACATTTTTAGAGTCGACCTTTTCTAACGCCCACGTTCTTTGTGAGAAGGCAGCATCGCTGCAGATGCTGGTTGTCCGAGGGAAACACCTTACTGCTGTCACACCCCTCTGCAGTTAACAATATGACTTCACCGTCAGACCTTGAGTAGCTGTTTTAGTTTCATTGTTCTCCAATCGACCTGCCCGGCATGGGTAGAACCTACAGGAACATATGTTTCAGCCAACATTAGCTCGGTTGGGTCATTACAATAAGCAAGCTCGACCACCACATCAAGGTGACAGCTACGGTCAGGATTTGAACTGACAATGGCGTCTCTGTGCTAATGCAGTATGGCAACCTGAACTGACGTACGTACGTACGAAGTTCTACATTGTAATTGACTGACTGACTGACTGAGTCACTGACTGTATTTAAAGTCTTCTAAAAGAAAATAATCATTCCTAACTAACTACTTGTGAATAATAAAAGTTATGCACATTTTTACTTCTTCCTTTACAACTTTTAATTGTAGATGTTTTACATGGGAAGGTACATCAAAACAATTCTTTATTCCTTATTCACAAATAACATTGCATGCTATCGCCAGAAATACAGTAGATCAAACTGGTGATCATCCTAATAATGTATTTCCTCATCCACATTTATTAGTAATGATTGATGGAGATCGTGTATGGGATTCAAATACTACTAATACTACTACTAATAATACAAAACCAGAAGAAGATGAACCAAATGTCATGCAAATTGATGAGGCCGGGTCCAACGAAGAAGGAGATGAAGATAAAGAAAATTCTGACAATGATCGAGCTTCAGATTGTCCTGGTACTACGTCGGTTCTTCGTTTGGTTCCACAAGATTCTACACAATTAGAAGATATGTATAAAGCATTAGCTGATTGTCAAGCACTGAATCCAGATCCTGAAGATGATAATTCAGATTTGGAAGGTTTTCCAGAAGAGGATGAATGTGAAATCAATGGACAAGAAGGTATGGAGTATGAAAATCATACAAATAGTGAGTTATGTTATTGTTGTAACGGTTGTGTTGTAATGGCTTTCTTAGATATATATATTCTCCGGCTAAATCCTATTGCTTAGTATTCTCTGACCACACAATACACTACTGGACAAGTTCCCAAGAATCAAAAAACACGGTTGAACAGGAAAAGATGATATTCCAAATAGCAAGGTGAAATGGTAATAAGAAGCCAAAGGTGATGGCGAAGGCAAAGATAGATACAACGTTAGTCTATTTATAGCATTTACATGAGAAGCTTCTGGATAGAAATCCACGTGATCGACTGGATTAGATTTAACCAATCAGCACGCAGCTAACAGTACGAGAATCTTCTACCCTGTTCTCCAAGATTCGATCAGGCGCTGATTGGATAGGAAATTAGCCAATCAGCGCGCAGCAACGTAGTCATGCTTTAATTCCATCTATGTCCCACTAACAGTTATATAGTTTAATAGCTAAACAAAGTATTCAATGAGAAGTTTATCATCTTTATTTTGAAACAAGTTAAGTAACTGATAATAAGGCCAAAGTCAAACTCAACTGTGACAAGAAGTGAGGTGATCGTTTGTTTTACGCGTGTCTCATCTATGGAATTATTATAGTTTGTCATTCTCCGTAAAAGAAATATCAAACAAAGCAACGCGTACAAGTATAAACTTCAAATCCTAAGGCTAAAAATAAAGCATTACTAAAATCTTTTAGTAACCTTCGTTGAATTTCGAAACTGCTCACTTGTACATCTTTGATTACAACTCCATTTCCATTATGGTGACACCCATTTTGAGATAATGGAGAAACTTTGTAGCTCAGATGGATGATTTCGGTGATGTTTCGTTCTCTGAGCTGGATGTTTTAATTGTGGAGCTTTCATTGTTATTCTTCTGAACAACATCATCAGCACAAACTTCAGATAGAAGAAGTGAAGTATTCGAATTTCGCCACGTTTGACCTGTAGCTTGTTCTCTAAACCTCTATCTTGATTGGTTGTTGTTGACCTTAAATATGTTACCGTCAATGCACCTTCGTTTTGATTGTATCCCCTTTTGATCTGTTTCTTGATCCTATGTCGCCTGTGATTTTTCTGATGATTGATAAATTCGGTCATTGTCACTGATTGACCTGAGTGCCAATCTCCTATAAAATTCTTTAGTGTTCTTTGTGTTCCACCTATCCAGTATTTCCACATTGTTCCAATCGAATGTTCATAATTGTCCGTATGAATTGATACGCGCGAAGAAATGTCGTGGAGTTTAACCGCTAATTGATGTTCACGTAAACGAAGCTGAAGAGGAAGTCCACTTTGTCCTATTTAGTGTCTTTCACAATCTGAGCAATTTATTTTGTAGATGATATTTGGTTTTTATTCTTTGTTTATTAGTGAAACTCTTGATGCAGTACAAAGATCTCATCAGACTATCTGCTGTTAATGTAGACGTATCCAAGAGTATATTAATGTTGCTATCGGTTGATTATACACAAACCTTCGAATTTACTGTGAATCCTATCGATGCTCATAACTATACACGGTTGAGATACACGTGGAACAGAAGTTTACAGTGTTACGTCTGGTTACTAGAGAACGACTAACGCATAATTCAACTTTTGGCACTTGAATAAGTAGAAGCGCCTCTAAGTTGGAAAACAAAGTCCGGAAGAGACAGAAATATTTACTATATTAAGTGACAAGAATTTACAAAGGAACTGTGTGTATTTATAGTTTTTTGTATCTCGTGGAAACAGCATTTAAAATCACCCGATCCTCAATGAGCGGTGTTACGTCATCACCCAGCCAGCTTACGCCACATCGAAACTCTAGAAACCCTATCGAGTTGTGATCGGTGGGAAATATTCGGTTTCTTGGATACCTCTGAAAACAAAAATTAAGGGGAAAAATCGTCATAATAAACACAACAGATGTTACTAGTAAATACTTTAGGATATCACACAACAGATAAATCAACGTTGTACCGCACGCTTACAAATTACTAGAAACACGACTGCCTACTGAATATTAACGAGTAGTATAAAATAATACTCAAAGAAACAATTCTGATGAAATGAGAATGTAAACAAATGTAACAGTTAATTTTTGTGACATTACCAATTATCTTGTCAAATCTCTAATAATAGTTTCTTCCTTAATCTCACTCACCATAATGCCTACCATCAGTACTTCACTTTGGTTTGTCATCGCCTTCTAAGTATGGGTTCGATACAGAACTGCATATAGGACAGAAATATTAAATCATACATCCTGTGAAACCAAAACTATTTTCTAACTTCGTACGAATTCAGGTGTAATCAATGTCCACATTCACTATGATAAAGACAGCTGGCATAGCGTTCTGTAAACTTTGAAATATTATCTTTAATTATAAACATCAACTAACATAAGACCTAGCTATTCACTATGAACAATATTATTTGCATAAGGACGAATTCAATAACACAGCATATTGTTATACCTGAACGTAAACACGTCAATTTGATATACTTGAACTATTACGAGTTTACCTAGTCGGAAAACGAGAGCGAGGGTCGAGGATCCAGCGACACGACATGCTGCTCAAATCCGATTATCCCAACCGCCATATTGAGCAAAAATAAGAATTGATATGAAGTAGAACCTTTATTCTACAAGCAACCAGAGATTACGAGGTCCAAACCCAGAAGAGAATCAGGATTCCGGACTAGGGATCCGGGTACTGGTCATAAAACGTTACAGACAATGCGTATTTATATATTTTAGTCGAATGACAAACATCATCGAAGTCTCTGACATTGACAGTTAAGACGACCAATAGGAAGCAACATTTGAAGTGATATTGGTAGTCAGGACGACCAATAAGAAACAACATTGGAGTATGTGACATTGATATCTAGGGCGGCCGTAAAATTGACCATTAGGAATTAACCAATAGGAATTGACCAATAATTCTCTTAGGATATTGGATGAATATCTTAACACATATAAGTCAGCCCTCACTTTATGTACAAATTTAAATAGTTTCTACTTCCTACAATCCTGTTCTATAATAATAATAAAATGTCAAATATATGCTACTAGAAATGACATCTTAGATGTTAAGTGAACTGATTCTCAACTGATTATTTGAAGGTTTGTACTACCTATCGCTTATTTCGACTTTAATAATTGGATCAACACTCAGAAATGAATCGCGATAACAGTGAATTTCATCGTAAACAGTAGTTTACGCTATATTTATTTGTTGGTCATTGTTTTTCTATATCTTGTTTATAATTTAAAATTTTCCATTTCTTGTTCTTGTTTTTTTCTCCTCACAATAAATTATAGATAATGGAAGATTTGGTGAACCGGATCAATTTGCAGATGCTTAGCACATTTTTTTTCTGTTGTGCAAATTGATAGATGCATTTTTGTAATTAAAATATTTAAAATCAATATATTTTCTATCGTGTTTCATATTATTATTATCCTGTTCATAAATAAATATAAAATAAATTGTGTTTTTTGAAAATTTTAATTAAACTGCTCTGTTCTCATAGTTATGTAGATTGGGGGACATGTTTTGTGTATGCCTAACCACCGACTGTCTCGTGGAGCTATGTGTTACGGTGTGAGAGGAGTAGGTTGGAAAAAAAGCTAGGAGCAGCCAAATCAAAACATGGCACAAATTGATGAAGTTACTGACAACTGGATTGAGTCATATTGTTAAGTGTAGACTGTCTGGTTGGGTTCTGCGAAATGATAATAACCGATGATTAGAGACCTTGAACGATATGGCGCAAATGCATTCATTCTCTGTGTTCTCTCAAATCCTGATGCTCTGGATTCTTCATCACCTTTCTCTCGCTTTCTAAATTTATTTCACTAAATTATACTCCTTGAATCCCATCTTCAAACCCTAATCTTTCCGATTACTGCTCATACTTCTACTACTTCAGGATTTGAGCTGACAATTGCGTGTCTGAGCTAATGTGGTATGACAACTTGAACTGATTTAGGTACGTACGAAGTTCCACATTGTAATTGACTGACTGAATGAATTCATAATTATGTAGCCTAACTCTACATTCTCACTTGTTTCTTCTAAACATTCATGGCTGCACGAAGTTTCGATGCTTCATCTATTGATCTGCCATTCTCACCTAGCACCCGTTTACTAATAACAGTGTTGCTCACTCGGCTGTCCCACGATATACGAGCAATGCTTCGAAGACACCTATGATCTTCTACTCTCACTGGCCATGTTTCACAGCCATAAAGTAAGACGGAGCGAACCAATGCACAGTACACTCGTCCTTTAGTCAGCAAACGGATATCTCGCCTACGCCATAAGTGACGCAGGTTGTCAAAAGCCAATCGAGCCTTCTGTATCCGAGCTGAGATTTCGTCAGTCACCAGGCCATCAGCACTGATGAGACCCTCAAGATAAGTGAAGCGGTCTACACGCTCGACTACCTAACTCCGTATCACTAGTTCAGGTACCGATGCAACCGAATCTTGAAGCAACAATAATGGCTGCAGATTGTACTATACTGTATGTTAAAAAAAGAATAAATAAGCTGCATACTAAAAGTTTTATCATCGTGTTGCAATACCGCTGCTGTTTTAGAGAGATATTAAAATTAATAATTCAGTAAAGAAATTTTTCCCAAGAATTCAATTCTTGAAATTATGATACAATCTCAATTATCGACTGATTCTATTTTAACTTTCTGAAAATATAGAAATGTCTTGATGTACTAGTGTTGCCAATAACAACTTGAATATCGGTGATCCAAGACAAGTGAAATATTGCATTTCATAACGATGTCCAAGAAAACATTTGTGGATCTACTTTTAAACGAATAAGGAAAGAATTTTCTAGATTTCAAATTATTAGTTTGTCAACTAAAAAACTGGGAATGTTAAAAGTAGTTTCTTGATACCTGGTAACATAAGAAAGTTGGTTGTAGAATTAAGAATATTGGAACATTAGGTCTGTTACACGAAGACTATTGGTTACAACTTGGCTGAATCTATATTTATGTATATTTATTTCATGTGTAGTTGGGCGTACTAATGCATTTAATATCTTTGAAGGCACGTCTCAATTCGATATTGCAGTTACATTTGCACAATAATGTGGCTAACATTGTAGAGTGAAAGGAAATTCGTAAGCAAAAGTATTTGGGAATTAAGCGTATGTCCTGGTATGGCCGAGAGTGGAGAGGATCCACTTTTATATGGTTATACATATATAGTCTGATAGAAAAGTCAGTCAGTTACAACCTAGGATTTTGTACATAAGTTCAAGTTGCCATCCCGATCGTAGATGCCATCTTGACGTGGTGGTCGGACTTGCCTATCGTGATGACCCAATCGAGCTATATTGACTGGAACTTATGTTCCTGAAGGTTCTACCATGACAGAGTCAGGTCGATTGGAGAACGATGAGACTAAAAGCATCTAGTCAAGCTCTGAGGGCGAATTCGTACTGCCCACAGTAGAGGGATATCACAGCAGTAAGGTGTCTCCCCCGGACAACCGATATCTGCAGCGATGCTGCCTTCTAACAAGGAAGGAAGGGTTAGAAAAGGTAAACACTAAAAATGTCACACCTCACCCTAACTCACGGATTTCCGTCTCTGGCGGTAAGGGTGTCCAATAAGGGCTTTCAAGAGCGGAGCTAGTACTAAAAAAACCTTTCGTAAAAAGGCCGTGCGTGACCGGCCTGAAGCAGTTGTCCCTTGGGCTCTGCGGTCACGCGCCCACGCCTCCAAGACCAACACTAATCTTTCTTCCCTTTCAGGTTCCTCAAGAAACAACCTTCCACGGTTTGGGCAGCCGGGAAGTGACAACCGCCCTCATACCCGTAACAGCACACGAGACCGAATTGGTCAAAATTAAATTCTTCCTACGCCCACACATACCTCTTCTCTCTCCACAACTAACTCCACTCACATTCCCTTATCTCACTGCACCGCTAATGCAAACGATGCGAGTTCACGAAACGTCATTCCTGGTCTCTTGAAACCCCGTTCTAGACTACATGTTGAAGCCTTTAATGTGCGGAAATTGTATCAAATAGGGCGACAGGCTTCCTTAACTAGGACTCTGAAATCCCGTGCCATCAATGTGTCTTGAGTCTCCGAAATGCGCATATAGTATCCCAGTAAAATCAGTGGTTTGATTTCACCTTTCAAAATAAAGAAGCAACTCGATTTACTCCTCGTGTATCTGGTAGCCCTGATGCTGCTTCCCGGGGTCTCTGGTTTAGGTATAGCATTGAGTTCTACGGTTGAAACTAGCTCTCCTATACTGGATCCCAGTAGATAGTCGCCTGTACGCTGTCCGACTAAACAGGACAGTAAGGACTCGGAAGGATAGGGACACTCGCCGTTGCCTCTTCGTCATATCTGCCTATGCCCCCACTGACTGCAATTCAGACGACGTGAAAGGCGAGTTTTACAGGAAGCTTTCGGACCTCCTCCAAAAAGCTAGGCGCTCTGATGCAGTAATAATGGCTGGTGACTTTAATGCTCAAGTAGGTAGACTAAGAGAAAATGAAAGAAATCTTGGTGGATGTTATGGTGTCGCGGCTCAGAGAACAGACAATGGCGACCGTCTGTTGCAAGTATGCTCAGATAACCGTCTATTTCTAGCGATTCCCATCCGGAAACAGGTTGGAATGATATCAAAAAGGCTGTGAAAACAGCAGTGAAATCTACTAGTAAGGTAAACCATAAGGCTAGACTGAAGCCGTGGACCTCAGTAACATCCACTAAACTGATGGATGCTCGAAAACTCATCCCACCTGGCGATGAGGAGCGGAGTCGGCTTAGACGTAGACTGATAAAAAGCCTATGCAATGATCGAGAACAGAGGTGGGTGGAGAAAGCGAGATATGGAAAAGGTAGTGGCGATAGGCAACAGTAGACAACTATTTAGACTCATTAAGGAAACGTATTAGGAACCCAAATGTGAGTGAGACTATTTCGGAAAAGGATGGTCTTATTATCCATTCTCAATCCAGGAGACTGGACCGATAAGCAGAACACTTAAGGGATCAGTTCAACTGGCCTCGAGCCACTCTTCACTTACCTACGATCACCAGTCTTTCTGAATGGCAAATCGACGTAAACCCTCCTAGTGGTTATGAAGTTGAGAAAGATATAGCAAATCTGAAGCGAAGGCGAGCAGCAGGTCCTGATAGACTGACTCCCGAGATATTTAAGGATGGTGATCCAGTTTTAGCAGTTAGATTGACTGAAATCTTTGAAAGAATCTGAAAACTGGACATAATCCCATCTGACTGGTCTCAGTAGCTAATTGTCCCAATTTATAAAAAAGGACAAAAGTCTTCTTGTGACAATCACAGGGGAATAAGTCTAACTAACATAGTATCTAAAATATTGGCCTCAATAATACTTCGACGCTTAACGAAAGCACTTGAGGAGCAGACTAGAGAAAACCAATCTGGTGTTCGACTTGGACGTGGATGTATAGACCACATTTTCACACTACGACAGGTCCTAGAACAGAGACACACATTTAGACGTCCTACAACAGGCGTAAGTAAGGTAAGCATGTCTTGTATTCTATTTTTAGCCAAAGACGTAAGTAATTGAAACAATAATAAATGGTTATCAGTAAATAAAGTAAGCATGTAATTATGTTTTTTTTTCATATAATTGCAGTGAACTCTGACAAACAAACAAGTATGTTATGATATATACATACATATACGGTAATATATAGAACATTAAATTATACTTTGTCTATTATTATTATTATTATTATTATTATTATTATTATTATTATTATTTACAAAATAGTACATTGAAAATGATTACAGTACACATAAATGACGGCAGTACTAACCATAACAATAATAATATCTCATTATTGAACATCACTGTTAATGAATACTTGTATCTTCTGGATGATTGAAGAGTTACGAAAGCCATTATCCAGTAGATGATACAAGTGTTCATTAACAGTTGTCTACGCCACATACTTCATATCCCTCTGGTCAGACATCATCAGCAACAATCTACTGTGGGCAAGCAAAAAAAACAAGCCATTGGAGGCAGAAATCATGAAGAAGCGCTGGAAGTAGATAGGATACACACAGTGCGAAAAGCATCGAACTGTATCACAAGACAAGCACTCATTTATAACCGTCAAGGTAAAACGAAAAGACGAAAGCCAAAGAACACATTAGGCCGATAATTAGAGACAGACATGAGAAAAATGAACAAAAATTGAACAGGACTGGAAAGCAAAGCTCAGGACACAGTTTGATTGGAGAATACTGATCAGTATGCTCCATTGGGGGCAACAGGCGTAAGTAAATAATGTAAGTATCAAACAATAGGCTATTTGATGAATACCAACCAACAAAGAGGAACACAAATAACATGAATAGTCTCCTGTATAAAAAAGAGAGAATATGAATGATACCCCACATTGTTGTTGAAATGATTTGAGCGGAATGTTCGTTTTTCTTTGGCTGTTGTTTTTTTACACAATTGTTGTTTTCGTTCAAACATAATTGATAATTGATTGATTTATGGTTGGTCTGTTTGTTTGTTTTGTTGAAGTGGGCAAGGAAAGCGAATGCACACACTACACACACACACGCACACATTCGACATATTCATGATTGAGGATGAACAAGCACATCAAAACACAATTACAAAAAAAAAAGAAACGATAGTATTTCCACTTATGAAGCGAAATTGTTTTGTTTTTCGAAAAACATCATTCATGATTTTGAATTCGATATTGTTCAATAGTGATTTATTTGACTGTTTAAACGTACAATTTAATTAATAAGGCGCACATCATTATAGAAAAAAAAATGCTTCACATGATTTTGATATGAACCAAAAAAAAAAAGAGGCCAAAAATAGAATTTTTAAAACGAGTATTTCTGCATACAGTACATCTATTTCACATATAATTTCTGTATCAAAATTATCGCATATACTGATGAGATTTGCGAGAAAAAAAAATATTCTTCATTTATGTTATTTGTGGAGATCGCCTAAATAAAACGAAAAAAAAACAAACGGAGAAAACAAATCATAAAATTAATGTTTGAGAAAGAATAATAGAGTCGCACAATTTCAAATTAAAACTATAAATGCAAAAAAATCATAAAAATTTGTGCTCATCAGTGACTAGGTTCGTAAGGAAATTCTTAGAATCCTAGTGAGAAACTATAACTAGTGATGATTAACAATATCAAGTTTAGGCGGTTACCTACTTGTCTGTTGGAGGCGTTAAATCGCACAGAACGCACTTCATAAAGATCCTAATTCTGGATTTTATGTTTTAGCGCATGGACTGATCAGTTGGCCTTGAGATTACGTTTCTCACCCGGAAAATCCTCGACTATCATTGGCTGATGTATTATTTTACCGTGTATACATAAATTCGATTTGTGTGCTTGAGAACCTCGATTTCTGGGTGCTTGTAGAATACAATTTCTACGTCATATCAAGACTTCTTCATCTACTTAGTGGGGTCATGGGACGCTCGGATTAGAATAGCCTATCGCGTCATTGGATCATTTGTCTTCGCTTTCGTTTACTGACTAAGGTGAACTCATAGTAGTTTCAAGCATATCAATTGACGATCTTAACACTACCGAAGACAATGGATAATGATGCGCAAAATGCTTAGATTGATCAGAGTTAGACATTAACATCGTTGACCGCCAGCTCAGTGCTCCAGAGGTTAAGCGATCGCACACAAAACAGGTCTTTTGTTCGAATCCTGCGAGTAGCAGAAGTCATGGATGCGCCCTGCTGATGAGTCCCATACCAGGACGAAACGATCGTCTTTCAATGCTTCCAAGTTTCTAATAGTGATCTAACACTAATTCATTCATGATTTTTTATCGTAAAACAATGATCTCCATAAATTTATAATGCAAAAATATGATAAAGGCAACAATTGAAGACAGGTGTGCAATTATCTTAAAGAAAATGAACACATCGCCCTTATACATTTATCTATAAGAAGAAATATCGTAATCAGTACTATTGTGGTGTGCGCTACTTATACGAACGATATAAGTAGTATAAGAAGGCACGTGAAAGAAGAAGTCTCACGATCAGAAGAGGAAAACGGTAAGCAAATGGAGCAAAAGCCTTAAGTAAATGGAGTACCAACCAACAGAAAGGAAAGGAAACAACAACAGGAATGAAAGAAGGATGGACCGCTGGAAGTCACGACTCAAAGATGGTGTGCAAATAGAGTATTCAATGTAATGTTTTCGTTTTTAACTGACTTAGAGTGTAAATTTGCATAACAATACAATCTTCCTCGCCTGCCTCAGTCTTCTCAATGGGTGTCTAAAGTCAGGCAGTTAAAACGTACATCTTCGTACGCAAGTACAGCAGTTCAAGTTGCCATATCACATTAGCACAAAGAAATCGAATTGTTAGATCAAATCCCATGGTGGTAGTGGAGACAGTCGAAGGTATTAACGGTAATGAAGAAGATTAGAGTTCGCAGATATTATTCAAGATGTATAATAATAATTCAGTGAAATAAATTTAAAAAGAAAAAGATAGAGGTGATGGATGTTTTTACATGTTTTATTGAATATATTGCAACGAATCTATGTCGATGAGGACAAAATGTTTTTTTTTGCAGTTCAATAGCACAGTGCATATAAAGTGGATACAATGAATGCATTTGAAATAATTTTCGAAGTCGTGAGCGATTAGAATGTCTAAACTGAAGCTTTGTATTCAAAAAGTCAGTGGTTAGTTAGCCTTTATCTGTTTTGTTAACCACAGACAGTACTATTGTGGTGCGAGCTACTTATAAGTAGTATATGACATGAGTGTCAACGTAATGTCTGGCAGCAGAAGATAGGGGAAGATCAAGAAAGGAAGAGTTAGAACACAATGGAATTTGTGTGAAACACATGAATAGTGACAATGGATTGATGTTTTGCAACAGGAACAGTCCAGTTCGATATGATGAACTGATATTTTGCAAATTAACGATTTACGATATGGTGTACCGATTTTACTGAGTAACTCTGTAATTTTCGTAAATACAATCCGGTTGCCCTCAGCTATGTTCTCCTTCACTACACTATGAATGTTTACGCCATTTCACGAGATAGATAGTAATAATTACAGTGTAATGAGTTCAATTGACATGTCTTTTCTTACTAAACATCTTAGATTTCATCATGCAAGTGATTCCTTTTATGAATTTGAATAAAGCTAGAACAAATTTATTGATCTAAAAACATAAACACTGGTACAGAGCGGCACCCAAGTATTTATGCGCCACACAAATCACTGATTCGGTTGTGTATGCTGGAATATTGTTTGAGTGCTTAGGCCGAAGCAGGAGGTTTTCTTATAGGGCTACTCCTCGAGCCTTTGAACCGAAGATTTAATCCACAAGGCAACGAAGAGACTTTAGAAGATGCAGTCCTATGGCAGTCGGTAACCACCGGTGGTTTTATACGCCGTTCATTGCACCAGGATTTTGGAGCTCAAGTGAGCCATTGGTTTGAAATCAGGGTTTTTCAACTCTTCTAGATGAATCCTTTATACCTACCAACTCATTTAGAGCGCCAGGAATGCGCTTTTCATTCTCTCAGTTTAGTAAATAACACTCATGCCACAAGAGGTCAGTGAGTAGGACTTCTGTGGTAGCTGCGAGCTTGTTAAATAGCCAACAAAATGATACGTTTTTAAAATAACAATCACATAGTGGAAAGTGACCGACAAAGAACATATTATAGCTTGAAGCCCAAACCTAGTGTTAATCAAGTTTATTGGGTTTAACGTATACTTAATGTACTACACAATACAGTTTAAGATAAGGTACCCTTATATATACCATCGGATTACCCGATGGTTTTAATGATTTGAGTTACTACATGAATTTCTGTTACGAACTAGCCTATGCCAATAGTGACAACTCTACAAAAACAGTTGATGTGCAGGATAACACTCGAGAGCCTCATTCGAAATTCTCATCATCATTATCAAACTACCAAACACCAGAAAAATCATCTCATTGATTTGTAGAACTGAAATTTAACCCTCATACGAAAACATTTAGATGAAATGAAAGACCAGGCTGTACTATAATTCATTGCGATGCGTCCGTACAAAAGAAATTTGTGGCAATAAGTGACTTGAATTAGTCGGTCAGATTCCCTGGACCTAAGTTTCATGCTCGTTGGCAGTCATCAGAAAAGCGTACCCAGAATCTTTACAGAATAGATATTTCATTTAGGATTCAAACTTGTGCAACACTGTTTCACAGAGTACGGCTCTAACACTGAGCTATTCGAGCAGTAACTATCCTCGTAGAACAAGTTTGGAGGTTCGCCTTGTTAACGAGTGTCAACCAGCAAGAAACTTAGATCCAAGATGTTTCTGTCAACTACCTCTGATTATCTAACATTAGAACATAATGCATATGATATTAAGACATGTAGATTACCGTACACATTACAATTTGATCGATGAAATTCGATCAGTAATAAAGGACTAAACGAACACGATACTAGACACTAATCGGTTAAAAAAAATCAATATACATCTGTGCTATAAATTTGAGCATTAGGTTTATAATTTATGAACGGTAAAACGTATAATAATAGTCAATAAATTCAATAAAAGCTCACGACTGACATAATATAAGAATACTATAAGTGAAATTATTATTATTATTATTATTATTATTATTATTATTATTATCAATTACTTCATTCAAAAGTACATTATGGAATTCTCAATAAACAAGTTATTCCAATACGTTTCTCTTACAAAAGAAAAACGTGACCAGTAGAGTTCAGCCATGTCGGGTTTAGGTAGTTGTTACCTACCGAAGACAATGAGTGATGATGTACGAAATCGTTAGATTGATCAAAGTTAGATATTAACACCGTTAGATTACGGTTAGCTCATGAGAACAAAGATTAAGCGTTCGCGCACAGCGCAAGACTAAAGGTTAATCAGTATGTACGTACGTACATGAGTTCATGTCACTATATCAAAAAGGAACAGAGAAGCAATTGTCAATTCGAATCCTATAGTAGTAGAGATAGTAGAAGTATTAGCGGTAATGGAGAAGATTAGGGAACCCAGGACCTTTAGTCTTGGGTTGGAATCCCGTGAGTGTCGGAAGACATGGATGCGCAGTGATACTGGTCAGTCCCATACCAGGACAAAACGGCCGTGTTTCAGTGCTTCCAGGTTTCTAATGGTAGTCTAACAATGATTTATTCATAATTTCAAGGTAAAAGAAAACCTATGACAGACAGACAGACACAACGCAGAACTTCGTACGTACGTACATCAGTTCAAGTTGCCATGCCCCATCAGCACAGTTCAAATCCAAGAGTGATAACGATTGTAGAAGTATTAGCAGTAATGGAGAAGATTAGGGAGCAGAGAAATGATTCGAGAAGTTTAATTCAGTGACATAAATTTAGAAGGGGAAGGACAGAGATTATGAGGAATTCCGAAGGTTAAAATTTCAGAGAACACAATGAGTGGATGCACCTGCGTCATTACAAACGATTCTGAGCCATGTCGTTCAAGGTCTCTAACCATTGGTGACTTTCGTCTCGCGGACACCAACCAGGTAGTCTACATCTACCAACATGACTCAGTCCACTTGTCAGTGACTTCATGGATTTCTGCCATGTTTTGGTTTGGCCGCCCTTACCTTTCTCCCAACCTATTCCTACTCCACAAAACAAAGTTCGTCGAGGCAGTCGGTGGTTAGCCATACGTAACACATGTCCCAACCACCTCAACTGATGAAGTTTCACCACTTCATCTACTGATCTGCCATCCTTACTTAGTACTTGTTTCCTAACGACAGCATTGCTTATAAGGTTGTCTCAGAAAACCTATAAATGCCTACATATGAAATAGGTGAATAGACTATCTACGACTAACTGGAATGTTCTCTTTTAATAAGAAAAGAATCAATACAACTTTTAATTAACAACATATTTAGTGTAATGAAATGAACAAAGACGTTAAGACCAGAAGGAATAGTAGCGTATTTAGAAAAGGGATCGTTTACACCTTATCTTCAGATTTCTATTTGCGAAACAAGTAGATTATAGCCTGCTGTTTTCTTGAACATACATCTTCTAGTCTTCAAAATACTTTGATTGTGTCATACAATCGGATCTCTCTAGTAGTAACTTCTAGGTGACACACCGCTGTATAATAATTATGAGTGATGCTGAGAGTAATATATCCAACACACTACCTTTTTGAAGAAGTCAGTTCTCATAACTTGTCCGTTACATAGCATATTTACTCAATATGATATTGAAGAGCTTTTATACCTTTGTTTGTGTGTGCGCATTCTAATACATCGCTGGTCTCATCATTCTACTAAAAGACATACAAGGTGAAAGATGTAAGTAGATTGGATGATTAGTATCTGACAAGATAACATTTGGCAAGAGTTTGCAAGATATTAAATGTTTATTCACAACAATATTCATGATGACCTAGAAAGATGCACCACACACCCGACTAACTGCCTTTAACACTCTCCACAATAAAGCAAAACCTTTCCTTAAAGGTCCAGGAAAAAAGAATGAGAAATAGTAAAGAATAATAATATGTAGTAAATAGGAATTTACTAGTTGCAAATACGCAATTGCCGAGTAATAAGTCAAACGGAAATCTTTCTTCTATATCAATAAAACATAAAAAGATTACGAAAGACTTTTTATATGCGCGCTTAAATAGGTTGTATTGTGGTGCGCGCTACTAATAAGTAGTATATGACGCGAGTGAAACCGTAATGTCTGGCAGCAGTAGATGGGGGAAGATCAAGAAACGAAGAGTGGGAACACAATGGAATTTGTATGAAACGCATGTGAAAAGTGAAATGTCAGACAATGGATTGATGATGGATTGAAGATTTGCAAACTAACCGTTTACGATATGGTTTTCCTATTTTACTGATTAACTCTGAAATTTGCGATAAATACAATTCGGTCGCCCTCACCTGTGTTCTCCTTCACTACAGTATGACTGACGGATATAATTAATGCGATAAGACAAACAGAAATGATGACATTATTAGCAGAATTGGATAGTGTCTAGCTGTGGAATCCATAATGCGTGTCTCGTCCTATTTTTGAGCTCGTCAGCTGGATATACCTACATCTCAGAATTGATACTCACATCGAGACTCGAACCCAGTATCTCAGCTTGTAATTAATGCTTTTACACTGAAGGCAATATCGAGGCCAACCGTACACGATGTATATATATATACTAAAGAGAGTGATTCATCGCAGTCTTAAACATCAATCCGAGCAATACAAGCGAAGAAATGATAACACATGTTGGCATATCTTGATGGTAGAAGAAACAAATGAAATGAAGCAGGCCGTAAAAAAATTGACTGATTTACTAAAGAATAACTTTTAGTTTTTTTTTCATTTATCTGACCAATCGAACTGAGCTCACAATTTGATAGTCAAACTGTACACCTAATTATTATTCATTATGTAATTCTATTCATCAGCAACAACGTACAGTGTGGGAGAGAACAACACCAGATTGCTCCAGTGGAGGAGGAAATCAGGAAGAAGCGGTGGAAGTGGATAGGATACACATTACGAAAAGCACCTAACTGAGTCACAAGACAAGCCCTCATATGGAACTCCCAAGGCAAAAGGAAAAGAGGAAGGCCAAGGAACACATTACCCCGAGAAATAGAGAAAGATATGAGAAGAATGAACAAAAAATTGGACAGAACTGGAGAAGGAAGCCTAGGACAGAGTTGGTTGGAGAAAACTGGTGTGCGGCCTATGCTCCATTGAGGGTAAGTAACAGGCGTAAGTAAGTAGGTAAGTAAAAAAACCATAGCAAAACAAAACAAAACTTACTTTGAACTAGCTGAAGATGTTCTACGTCGGTGTAGATTTGAACTATTCCAAAATAATACACTTGGTCTACGTTCATTGATATCAACATTTGCTAATGAACCAATAAATTTATCAGTTCCTTCTGTTATCTCTCCACCATCTATAATACCACCACCACCATCTGTGGTCATTTTTGTCCAATCCGGTAGTATAATATCTGTTGTATTCCAAAATGCATCACGTACAAGATCAGGATGTTCATGATGCATTCCATCGACAATGAGATATGAAACCTAATTTATGTTGTTTTTTTTTTGAAAAAAAAACAAAGATTATTTTGTAGCCCTAACCCAAAAAAAACAATTAAACCAAAAGCGACAAATTCTCAGAGTTCTAGTGAGAAGATGTAACCAGTGGAGTTCAACCTTATTGGGGGTAGAGGTAGTTAGTTACCTACCAAAGACAAATGGATGAGATGGCGCAAAATCTGTAGATTGATTAGAATTAGACACTAACACCGTTGGATGACCACTTATCTTGGGAGTTTCATCAGCGCTGATAGCCTGGTGACTGACGAAATCTCAGCACGGATACAGAAAGCTCGATTGGCTTTTGCCAACCTGCGTCACCTATTGCGTAGGCGTGATATCCGTTCGCTAACCAAAGGACGGGTGTACTGCTCAGCAGTTCGCTCCGTTCTCCTATATGGCTGTGAAACATGGCCGTTAAGAGTAGAAGATGTTCGTAGGTTACTAGTATTCGATCACAGATGTCTTCGAAGCATTGCTCATATATCGTAGGACAACTGAGTAAGCAATGCTACAGTTAGGAAACGAGTACTAGGTAAGGATGGCAAATCAATAGATGAAGTAATGAAACTTCATGAGTTGAGGTGATTGGGACATGTGTTACGAATGCCTAACCACCGACTGCCTCAACGAGCTGTTTTGTGGTGTAGGAGTAGATTGGAAGAAAGCTAGGGGTGGCCAGACCAAAACATGGCACAAATCCATGAAGTCACTGACTAGTGGACTCAGTCATGTTTGCAGATGTAGGCTACGCGGTTGGGGTCCGCGAGACGAAAGTTATCGATGGTTACAGACCTTGAACGACATGGCTCAGAATCGTTGGTAATGGCGCAAGTGCATCTATTCTTTGAGTTCTCTCAAATCCTAATCTTCTGCATTCGTCAGCACCTCTACCTTTGTCTTTCTAACCTTATCTCACTGAATTATACTTCTTGAATAATATCTTCAAACCCTAGTCTTCTTCATTACCATTAATACCTCTACTATCTTTATCACTATGGGATTTGATTTGACATTTGCGTCTCTGTGTTAATGTGGTATGGCAACATGAACTTATGTACATACGTACGAAGTTCTACGTTGCAACTGACTGACTGACTGACCGTTGGATGACGGTAAGCTCAGTGATCCAGAGGTTAGGCGTCCACGCGAAAGACTGAAGGTCCTTGGTTCGAATCCTGCCAGGTGCAGCAGTCGTGAATGTGCACTACTACTGGTGAGGACGAAACGGTCGTCTAGTGCTTCTAGGTCTCTAATAGTGTTCTAACAGTGACTGATTGATGATTTCAATGTATAAAAACATTAATCTCCATAACTGTATTTGAGAAAAAATTAAGGGTGAGGTCGCGCAAAATCCCTAGATCAATCACAGTTAGACATTAACACCGTTGGATGCCGGCCCAGTGGTCCAATGGTAAGGCGTTCGCCTACCATGCCAAAGGTCCCAGGATCGAATCCTGTGGGGAGCAGGAGTCGTGGATGCGCACTGCTGATGAGTCCCATACCAAGGACGAAAGGGCCGTCCAGTGCTTCCAGGTTTCTAATGGTAGTCTAACAATGATTGATTGGTGATTTCGAATGTGCAAAAAATTAAATGTAGAAGATATGATTCGAGAAATTATGGATTACTGGAGTTAAAAACATCATTACATAATTTACAAATTTACGATCTAAGGGAGGACAAACAGCATAATTTTGAAACATGTTATCTAATGTATAAATCCATTGGTTACGAAAATTGGACGGACCTCAATCATATAGTCTATATCTACATAAATGGGTCAGTGCAACAGTCAATAAATTCATGACATGCTTTTAGATACAACATTTTCATCGTTTGATTTTTCAAGAATTGATCTTCTATAACAGGAGATTCATTTGTTAACGTAGAATATGCCGATGACATAGTTCTATATGGTGATGAGTTAGTCTTCTAACTAACTTGGGCAATGCAAACATATTCGGGATGCGGTTCTCTCGCTCGAAATGCAAAATGTTGCTCCAGGATTGGTTTGCATCTTAGTTTTTCTGTCTTTAGATATCTCTTAATCTACTTCCACGCTAACTTTCTGTTACGTCTGCACGTAAACACGTCATTTTGATATTTGCTTGAACCATTATGAGTTTACCTTAGTCGGAAACGCGAGAGCGAGGATCCGGCGACACGACATGCTACTCTAATTCGATTATCCCAACCCCCATATTGAGTAAAAAAAATAAGAAGGCTTGATATGAAGTTGAACCTGTATTCTATAAGCATTCAGAAAGTACGAGGTCCGAATGCAGAAGAGAATCAAGATCCCAGACTACGGATCCGGGACCGGGTCCTGGTCCTGTTCATAAAACGTTACGCATAATGCGTATTTATACATTTAAGTCGAATAGGAAACAGCATCGAATTCTGTGACATTGACAGTTAAGACGACCAATAAAAAACAACATTGGAGCATGTTACACTGATAGTCAGGACAACCAATAAGAAAAAAACATTGCAGAACGTGACATTGATATCTAGGACGACCATAAAATTGACCATTAGGAATTAACCAATAGGAATTGACCAATAATTCTCTTAGGATATTGGATGAATATCCTAACACTTTCACTACGCGTCAAATTAAGGTGGTAGTTACTCCATATCCCAACCACTTCACTTGAGGAAGATTCACCATTTCATTATTATGCGTCTAAACTTGGTATTGACAATTCATGGATCTCAACATACAAGATCCATCCTTCATAGGGACATTTGGTAAAGTAGTAGTAACCTACTCTATATTTTGTGTTAATACAATATAGTACTGATAAGTGGTTTTGAATCAAACAGCCAAATCATAATTATGTATGCCCACGTGATTTAGTAGATATTTAAGTTATCACAACAATTAAATGATTACTTGATATTAATCGTAGACAGAACTAAGGCATAAAAACAATCGAAATACATTTATTAATATACTCCACAGAAAGCAAGCTTATATTATAATATTGTAAATTTGTTCACCAAAGAATATTATGTAGCATCAGTCAGTCAGTCAGTTAGTCAGATGCAACGTAGAACTTCGTACGTAAGCAAATCAGTTCATGTTGCCATACCACATTAGCACAGAGATGTAATTGTCAATTCAAATCTGATAGTAGTAGTAGAGGTAGTAAATGTATTAGAAGTAGTCGGAGAGGTTAGGATGAGAAGATATTATTCAAGAAGTATAATTCAATGAGATAAGTTTAGAAAGTCAAAACTAGAGGTGTTGAACAATCCAGAAGATTAGGATTTGAGAGAACACAAAGAATAAATGCACCGGCACCATTGCAAACGGTTTTGAGCCATATCATTCAGGGTCTCTAACCATCGATTATTATCATCATGATTATGTAACATACAAACTGGATAGAAAATGTAACGAATTCCAGAGTAGTTTTTAAACTGCATTTATTTTTACTGATAAAATCTTGGAACAGAGTTTAAATTTCAGAAAAATAATAAAACATTTCTGGTTGAACAAGTTAAAATTGTTAGTGGTATACACTATCACTGAATTGTATGATAATATTCTTTCCACTCTTTAACTTGTAGCAATTAGCTAAATATGTTTGATTTCAATCAATCGATCAGTCATTCACAACGTAGAACTTCGTACATACGTACATCAGTTCATGTTGCCATACAGCATTAGCATAGAGATGTAACTGTCAATTCAAATCCCACAGTGCTAGAGATAGTAGAAGTATTAGCAGTAATCGGACAGATTAGGGTTAAAGGATATTATTCAAGAAGTAGAATCTAGTGAAATAGACTTAAAAAGATAAAGATAAAGTGATGAGGAATTAATAAATTTAGGATTTGAGAGAACACAAGTAGTGAATACAACTGCGTCATTGCAGTCGATTTTGAGTTATGTCATTCAAGGTCTCTAACCATCGATTATTATCAGCTCGCGGACCCCAACCAAACTCCACAGGTAAATGAAGCGGTCTATACGTTCGACTACTTCGCTTCCTATCACTAAATCAGATGTCGACGCAAACCAGTCTTGAAGCAACATTTTGCATTTCGAGGGGAGAAACCGCATCCCGAACATGCTTTCATTGTTGCTTAGGGTAGTCATAAGACTCTGCATTTTGTCAGCGTCTTCCACAAGTAGAACATATTCTAATCAATGAATCTCCTAGTAGAAAACAATCGAACATTAAGTTATCGTGTATATCACTGAGTCATTTTCTTTTTATAAAGACATTTAATGTCGATGATGTATGTATACAGGGAAATACATTCCATACACAAAACCATAAGAACCTGAAAGTACCAACTTCACGAGAAAGTATACAATAGCACATTAAAGCCAACTTATATGATTATTATCTTTATTCTGTAACTAGCAAAAACATACAATTCCTTAAATCAACTGAAGTATACACACATAATCAATCATTGAAGATAACGAAATCACCAACCAACTTTCCTGTATGAATAGTAAGTAAACACATGATGCATTGACTATGCTTCAATGAAAACCACATATATATATATTTTGGGGCACAGTTTTGGAGGTTTGCGTTTTTACACATTTGCAATCATCAATCAATCATTGTTAGACCACCATTAGAAACCTGCAAGCACTGAAAGACGGCCGTTTCGTCCTGGTATGGGACTCATCAGCAGTGCGCATCCACGACTCCTGCTCCTCACAGGATTCCAACCCGGGACCTTTGGCATTGTAGGCGAACGCCTTACCATCGGACCACTGGGCCGGCATTCAACGGTGTTAATGTCTAACTCTGATTGATCTACGGATTTTGCGCGACCTCACCCAGCACTGTCTTTGGTAGTTACTGCCTACAACCGACAGGGTTGAACTCCATTGGTCACGTCTTCTCAACTAGAACTCCGAGAATTTCCTCACGAAGCTAGTCACTACTGATCACTGTTACGATATTTTGGGGCACAGTTTTTTGGAGGTTTGCGTTTTTTTGCACATTTGAAA